AAACTTGCATAAACGTATGAAGAAAATTATCCAATCACATTTTACGTGCGGCTTTATAACAGAAGTACGAATAACAAAATACTGGATAATTTACTTTATGCATGTTTTTAAGCAATTATGCAAGTTTGTATGGATATACTTTAACGCGTGATCCAAGATGACCGTCTCAGGGCCACTTTAACCAACTCCGATTAACTTAATCGGTCGATTAACCCATTGGAATTGGCCAATTGCATCTGTCGTCAAACGAAATGATAAATGCGATTAATCAATTTTAATTGACTAATCGACGGATTAAATTAATTGAAGTTGGTTAAAATAGTCCTCAGATGTTATCACATATCCAGATGTTATCCGTAGATCCTATAATGACTCCTTAGGGTCACAACCCTTAGTCCCCAGGCATTGTCGAAGACTGGGCGAAAGCATAGCCCATAAAATGCTATCTTTAATTAATAATATATCAGTTACTTTTCATGGTAATATATTATTATTAGATAAAAAGGTTTAAATTTTTGAGGATTTTTTTTTAACATGACTTGACCTTTTCATTTTTATGATATGATTTTTTTAGGATATCACTTACTTTTTAGAGTACAAATATATCACAAATATATAAAAAAAAAAAAGATTTTAAAAAATTATTATATAACGAAAGAGAGTGAAATTTGGTAAAAGAGAAGGGTTGGTGGGGAGAGGGGAAGGGAGGTGGTGGCGGTGTGAGTGGAGAGGAGAGAGGTGCATATGACTGCGGACAGAGAAGAAGACGAACGAGAAGGAGATGTTACTTCATTTTTTCAGAAAATCATCACTTTTCAACAGCTTATACATATGTCCAGAACGGTTTGATCGATTTTCAATTTTTTTTAGCTCAAATTACTCGTAACGATATAGCCTTTATTTAGGATGTATTACGTGCGATTCAAAATTTTTTTGTATTTTAGTTGTTATGTACTCCCCAAGAATTGATTTTGGTGGCTTGGGATAAGAGACTTGTAGTGTCTATTATTAATCTTTTAAATTTAAATCAATTAGTAGTTTTTTAAACATGGCCGGGGAGACACTACCGCGTCCACTGATATAAATAGTAGACATTATTTCGCTTACACCTTATATCAATCCTAATTTCTCGACTATACAAGAATGATTTTACTCATTTGCAGGCAATGTTGAAAATAAATTAAAAACGGTCAAAAGATAAACAGAACGAAATTCCGAGCGACGAAATTACCTAGATAACAATGATTGTGTTCAACAGACTTTAACTGTTGCAGAGCGAATCTGTAAGCACGTTTGTTATTATTGAATGATCTAGATTCTAGAAGAATATATCAACAGCAGCGAGTGCTCGCGAATTCGCTCCGCACTAGTTGAGTCTGTTGAACGCGATCGGTGTAACTGTACAGTACCATGCAGATGTGTCCTTATTTGAGGCTCATGTAGTCTGCACACATGAGTGCTGCATATATGCGGGCGACATGAGACTTATGTGAGTGCTTTAATTGAGTTTTATATATATATATATATATATTGCTCGCACATGAGTGTCATACGTGTTCGCAATTGGTTATTGATTTTAAATCTGAAGTAAAAAATGTACAATTTAAAATGGCAAATTTAATATGGAGGAGACAATCATTAAGAGTTTAAAAAAATCCGTACAATGAAAATTGATATCTGGTGGTTTTGTAAGTGTCTGGTTACTTCTGTGTAATTTCAATTGTTGAATTGAAAATATTGGATCCAATATGGTGATATAAGTTTCAAAAATTCATCAGCATAGTTGCCAAGGTTTATAATTGTATATGATGATTAACTTTAAGTTTAATACATTTTAAAACTCTTGCATTAAAAATCTTCAATTCTTAATTTTTGAAACTTATGTCATCATTGGATCCGCTATTTTTAATTCAACAATTGTAATTATACAATAATAATCAGAGTTTTACAAAACAACCAAATATTGATTTTTATGTAAATCTTATGGATTTTTTAGAACTCTTGTCCTTCATATTGTATTCGTTATTTTGAGTTGTATAATTTTTACGTCAAATTTGAAATTAGAGACTAAAAAAACTATACACATGCTCCTGTATTCGATGGTTATGCATCAGACTCAAAAGGATGTCGCGCATCGTAATGATGCACAAACCGCTTTGGTGCTTTAAATTCAATAACTTCCGAACAAATGGTCGGAAATTATATAGTTTTTCAAAAAAGAATTTAAATTAAAACAACATCCATTTATAAATATAAATAGTCAAATATTTCTTACGATTTTTTTCTTTCAATTATTTGGTTTTATATTTCAAAATTTTTCATTTTTTCACGGTTTTGTAGGATTTTTCCGGAGTTTTTTGTTTGCGGTTTGCATAAAACATTTTTATAACCAATGAACAAATATTTTTAGTATTGTTGACACATTTCTAAGTTCAATTCCGCAAAACAAACATTGATATAATTTTCTGTTTAGTCGGAAAAAATTAATAAAAAATTACTTACCAAAAAGCTGTTTTTGCGATTATTTAAAAAATGAGAGATGATTGAAAATATGAGTCGTCATCTTTAGGGCATCAAATTCTATGGAAACGTTCTTGAAAGTTCAAAGCACAAGACTTTCCTTAAATTTTGTCTACCTGTGTTATATTAATGTAGATCTCCGTGCTTCCTCATTGATATAAGATATAATCTATTATAACTTACAATTAATCCAAAGTTACTATAATAATGATGGTTTCTCACAAAATTTAATCGTAAATTACCAATTAGTTATGAACAATAGAAATTGATATATAATTTTTAATCGAATTTGTAAGAGATCATAAGTATATAAACTTGATGAATGGAATAGTTAGATGTGAAGCATTTTTAATATTGCTTTCACAGTATCATGAAAGTAAAGAACTCGGTATTCATGTCTCTGCAGACTACTCTTCTATTCAGTTTCAGTCCAATGCCTCAGAAAACATCAAATTTCTCAGTGATAGGATAGCTTTACATCAACCGAAACTATACGTTTTCCCTTCTTGGCAGAGTTAATGGACTTTATGAACTCATTATATATTGACGTCAGGGAATGACAGTAACTTGTCGTTACTTGTAACCAAGTTACAGTTACAAGTTACTTTTTGGATAACTTTGTTGGTAAACTACGTTCATTTTTTTTGGTAATTGTCGGTAATGTAGTTCAATTCTTTGGTAAATATAACTAATTTTACAGTTACTTTTATCGGTACTGAGCACACGCGATTGGTTACGATTCGATTGGAATTATTTTACATTTCTAATGATATATTAGATAGATACCTCAGTTTATTTACAGTATATTTTACATGTTTCAGAATTATGAAATAATTTTTATGTAAAAACATAATAAATATTTAAGAAAAAACTAAAAAAATAAGGCTAGAGTGTTATTATTGTATATTGTTTTTATTGACATTTAAACAAAAATATTGCAAAAGTACTTTTTAATAGACTAATCTTAAAAAAATAATGGATAAGTAACAAAAAGTTATTTTTTCAAGTAACGGTAACTGTAACGAGTTAAAAATCGGTAACTTGTAGACTAATTTTAAAAAAATAATGGACAAGTAACAAAAAGTTATTTTTTCAATTAACGGTAACTATAACGAGTTAAAAATCGGTAACTTGTTTTAAAAAAAGTAACTTCCTATTTTCTGATTGACACTGAATTTGTTTGCTCGCAAGCAAAAATAATTCGCAAATAAACACCTTTCTTTGCTATTTATCAACAAAAAATTATTTGTCTTTTATAAAACAGAAGAACATTATCAGAGAATTATTGGTCTTTTTCTTTATTCTTGCACTCTCTGAATTGATGCACGCAATGCAATACCATAAGTTCAGAAAATATACAGGAATACAGAGAGAATAAACATCATATTTTTCAATAAATATGTCAGAATCTTTGGTTCATACAATAACTTACTCGTCTAGATAAGTGTATAAAACAAATAGACATGAATATTAGATAGAGACAAGAGATAACAAATGCAAACGGTTTTTTCATTCATTTTTGAGAGATCAGTGTTTATTAATCTCTCTGAAACAATTTCGTACACTTGATGTACACTACCGGAATAGTTAAGTGGATTTGTTTCGATTGAGCTACTTTTTCCTTTGGACGTACATTTATTAGCTCACCGATCGCGAGAATAATGAAACGTGCAAAAATATAATGCATATATGTAAATATATATATGTACGCAATATTTATTATTTATAGGAATGTGTGTTTTTTAAGCAAATTCTTGTTTGACGTGACTAAGCTAAAAATGATAAATATTTATATGTAAAATGATCGTAAGATATTGATCTTTATAAGATATATATATTATCCCTTTCTAAAAGCAATATAGGGAAAATTTTGGGTACGAATATATAAGCCATGTGATATACAAGATATATGATGTTTATTTAATAATTTATATATGACAGCTACACTTGAACATTTAATTGTACGTATCGATTCTCGATTTTCTTATATAATATTTCATTAAACGTATATCATTAAATGTCAATCACCAGATTATTGTTTTTTGTCAATTGTTATTTGTTCATTTATCCAATTAATGTACGACGGGACGCGTGTATACAAGGTGGGATATTTATTACTACCGCAATCGTACACATGCGAAACGAGTCCAAAGAGTCGTCCATTGATAGTAAGAGGGCCACCAGTATCACCCTAAAAAATACAATTCTCCAATACTAAAAAATATATTTTATGAAGATTTGATTGGAAAATCCTACCCGCAAACAATGTTGTCTTTTATAATTAAAGCCTATGGCACACGGTGCTTGTTTTCCTGCTGGATTGCTAGCTGGATTAGAATCTTGCCACCGTATTGGTTGCGGTGCTGAAAGTGCCAGTATCGCGGCCAATCCGATGGCAAGAATCTGTTCTAGCTAGCAATCCAGCAGGAAAACAAGCACCGTGTGCCGCTGGCTTTACAAGGAAAAAATTTATGGAAGCGTCACCCTCCGATTTTGAGCTTTGAATATGTTACTTTTGTCTGCAAAGCAACATATTTAAAACTCAAAATATTTTCGATAATTAATTATATGTTGCAATCGGACTTATCTCCTTTTATTGAGAGTTTGTATATACGCGACTTGAAATACAATCGTTAATTGTTAAGACAATTGTGTTTACGAGTTATTAAAAACAATGGCGATTTGAAGCTTTGTTTGAGAAGAATATTGAAGCTAAGTAGTTAATGACTCAATCCGAGTAAACGGCATAAAAATGCGACCAGTAATTAATGACTGTATTGTAACGTTTTATGCAAATAACTTACAAAGCATACACCCTTTTGTTCAGTTGGATGAATTGAGCAGATCTGCGAATCGTGAATTTCTACATCTAATAGGTCTTTATAGACTTTGTTACAATAAGTTTGATTGACTATTATATTATCTACGATGTACAACTGTTCGTTTTTCTTTCCTGTTGGATAGTACTGAAATTATACAAAGTACAAATGTGACTTATGAGAGTAATTTGAAATACAATTTTGAAATACTTAACATTCAACATTGAAAAAAGGTTATAAGTATAAAATATTGAGTGAAATAGTTTTAAGTAAATGAGGTAAAATATAATTAATTATAATTTTACCTTTACAAATATTTAGTAGATATGTATTAAATGGTATTACCAACTACTTACTAAATATTTGTAAAGATAAAATTGTGTTTAGTTATATTATATTATATTAATTCAATATTTAATTGAAACTATTTTACTCGATATTTGGTAGCTATAATTACTTTTTGCAGTGAAGACTCTAAATGATTGAATTATTAAAAAACTTACCGTTACTCTGCCGAATCCCGATATTAAAGCTGTCGAGCCTGTTTCGACAAATTCATCTTGTTTCGGTAAAGTGGCAGGAGATATCAAAAAAGAAAATATAAATGGAGTTTGGACCTAGAAATAAATCTTCCGTATACTCTTTTGTGCAGTTATACTTTTTTTATTGCTTAATTTAATTGAAACTATATGTGATAAATGCTATCACACAATCTACTATTACCTTAACTAAACCGATATCGTAAGTGTATCTGTCCGTTAAATCTTCGGGATCGTATTTTTCGTGTACATGAAATAACTCAGATATATGCACAGAATGTGGTTTTCGAAGGTCTGTTGTTCCAGCACTGACCGCAATGTCCATGTCTTCCCTATACCTAAAGAATGTTACGAAGAACATATTTTTTAATCTACATATTTATTTTTCTGAAGTGTTTCTTGAGATTTTCATATTTACCAAAATATACAATGAGCAGCGGTTACTACATAATACTCGTTAATTATGACTCCACCGCAGAATTGTTCCTCTCTTATAATGTCTAGTAGAGCAACCTGAATTATAAAATACATTTCATATTTTATGCAACAACATACAGAAAGTTCTAATATTATCATGTAGCATATCCAGGTTTACAATTAACACTAATTTTGAATTGTTGAATAAAAGTGATTAAAACTATTATGAGAGTAGGGCTACGAGCCTGAGATTCATTAAAATCTTTAATTTTATTAATTCTAATATATTGCGAAGAATATCACGTAATGTTGGCGTTTCGTCCCGGCTTCCAATACTAGACTCATCAGTAAGGTATTGTAATGGAAGCCTACCTTAGACGCCTGTTTAGTTATTAAATCGAGATTCTATATGTACAGATATACGCGTATCAAAGCATTTGCGAGAATCTTAGCGAATATTTATAGACCTCTGTGAGGTAAAAGTGATTAACTTATTGCTCATCCGAACTTAAAAATTTCTATGCGTAAAAAGTATTTTTTAATTTAAGTAGTTATCGTAACGATATTGATTAATAATAACATTGATTAAGAATAATTTACTAGTTTACCTGGTATGGGACTTCACCTGGATCGGCAAGTCTCCCTCCAATAACTCTCGGTGTTAATTTTATTGATGCGCCTGTATAAAATTTGTTATTAACTCATTATTCTTATGAATTTAATTGCTTAAAATTAAATAACCACAAAGCTGATTAATTTATCTTAGAATACTCACCATAATCAATAGCTATCATAGAAATTAAGCATAATAATTGTATCATTATCGTCAGTAATTTTGTGTGATATTGTCACCTCTGATTATTCGAAATCTAATATTTATAATACATCCGAAGATGCTCTGTAAAATTCAATTTTAAATTATATAATATTAGATAAAATATGTGATACTCGTACTTATTAATATTTAAAATCTTTTAATCTGCTAGCATAATATCTCGCTATCCACATTATATTGATTTTATCTTTTCTATAATTCTATTGACTTTTATCATCAGTAAAAATTGACAAATGTTTGATATAATGTAACTTTCTACGTTGTATGTACATATATAAATTGACAATAATGTATCAAAAAAATTTTGATAGATCATCTCATTGATTTTGTAAAAAAAAAGATTTGTTTATCTGTAATCTCCTTATTGTTAAAAATCTGTGTTATAATTTAATTAATTTATGTTATAATCTAAGTAATTTTATACCTTACTCGCTTTTCTAAAATTACAGCTAAATTTTAGTTTTAAAAGTTTACTGCTATATACGAAGTAACTTCGCATTGCGAGATTACCAGCTGAACGTTGTGTACAGTACAGCAAGTTGTATGTCTAATTCTAAATAAACTTGTGATGTAGGAATAACTTAATAATGCAATTTGTCGAAGTTTACTGTGATTATAAACTTCTATCTATATTTTGCGCATTTTATGGTATAAGAAAGTATTTTGAAGAGAATAGGCTATTTTTGTTTATTTTGACATTTTTGACCTCTTAATAACGTTTGCTTACTTCATTTATTGACCAGAAGGAGAAAAATTTGAAGTGTTATTGATATTGATAATTACGTGACTTACAAAGGTTGTTTATTTTGTTTGACATTTCTTGCAACTTGGAAATTTTGGATATTATATAATTTATAATAAAGTCTTTCGAAGCCGAATTACTACTTGGCGCAATTCCACACAACGTTCACTTATTCTTTCTTACTACATCAGGCTTGAAAACATTATTTTTTGTAAGAAAAATTAATTATGGTTATATAGCTTTTTCCAAAAAAAAAAAATTAGTTACCGTTATAAGTCACAGAATCTGAAAAGTAACAGTTACAATTACAAAAATTTAAATTGTTTCTCTTTAGTTATATTTTTATTAATATTTTCCTAATTTTTCACATTGCTATTGTGATATTTTAAATATAAAAATCTTACATGTTACTAACATAATTAAATTCTTTTATTTATTATACAATATATACTTAATTTGAATTAATTTTCTATTGTTAATTGTTATGTTTTAGATTATTACTGTTTTACTGCCGTGTATGTTCAACGACTAATTTGACTATTTTATTTTATTGACTCGCAACATCATTAGATAGGACATGAAAAAAAAAAATATTTTATAGAATTCCAATAATTTTATAATTATAATATATTTATGGTAACATTGAGAATGGCCGATCGGCGTTGAAACGTTGTAATTTTTATTTATATATATATTTTAAATTGAACGATATTTGTTACATAACTGGCTCCTTAGCCCTTGAACTATTCTATTGTATTAAATATGTATATTTATTATTTAGTACACAATCAAAATTATATAATTAATGTTAAAACATGTTCATTTCTAAAAGAATTTTAGTTTAATTCTTGGTACAAACATTTACAGAGTGTGATGGTTTAGTAAAGATATATTCCAATCACAATTAATCACTGATTATATTCACTAAACATTTCATTTTTGTCAGCTCTTGTGGTAATATCTAGATGTTTTATATAAAATAAGATTGTTCGGCGCGCAATGTGAGGGGGGTGGGAAGGGAATACATTTAGTACTTTAGATAAATATTGCGAAGAATATTACTACGTCGATTCGCCATCAGATGTCTATTGATATTCGCAAATTCTCGCAAGTGAGACACGCGTATATCTCTTTATATAGAATCTCGATTTAATAACTTACACTGGCGTCTAAGGTAGGCTTCCATTACAATACCTTACTGATGAGTCCAGTATTGGAAGCCGGGACGAAACGCCAACATTACGTGATATCCTTCGCAATATATTAGAGTAAATAAAATTAAAGATTTTAATGAATCTATGGCTCGTAGCCCTGTTCTCTTATTAGTTATAAAATAAGTATTATATAAAAATAATTATTTGTTACCAAAAAAAAAAAATTAATTTACAATTATAGAGGAAAAAAATTAACCTTGAAGTCGAACTACACAGTGAAAAACGTAACTCTATATAATTTGTAATTTTATTACAAGTATTTCCCAGTTCTACTTACACGTTACTGGAAGAAGTATTTAGTTGCCGTGTTGATACTGATGACGATTGTTAGTATTCGTTGCACTCAAATAATCTGTCTGAAACTTTCTTGACTTTTTATATCTACCTCTCGATGCAACAGGAACAGTGAAGTTTCCTACTATTATTCGCGAGTCATATATATATAATTGTTGCAGAGTCAGACAAACTTAAGGTCGTTCAAATTTCGCAGAGTATGTATTTTTTTTTGCATGTTGCGACATTTACGAGGTTGCCATGCAATTTTATTTTCTTATACCAACGCGACATTTTAAGGTATCGTTTTGACAATTAGAAACGTAATATTCTCGTCGCAACAAGGTGTGTATATGACCTTTTGTTGACTATACAATGGTTGTTCAAAAATAGCAGGGTTGGCAAGTAACGCGTTATTTGTAACGTCGTTACCGTTACAAGTTACTTTTTTCGGTAAGGAATGGGTAACGGGGTTATATTTTCTTCTGAGTAACGTTTTTGGTAACACACACACAGTTACATTTTTGAGGTAATGGTAACGATTTCACTAGTTACTTTTATCGTTACTTTATGTAAGTTATAGATGTTAATAAAATTAGGCTTATTCAATGCGCTTTTGCACGAAATGAATGAATTCGGCAAAAAGAGTGTCTCGCGAACCAAGATATTAATTGTTAAAGTTTACAGATATTTAGGTTAGGAAACCTATCACATCGATACAAATGGTTATACAAATTCTGTTTTATAAACAAATTCTTTACTTTAGAAACAAATGCTCTGATATAAAAATACTTTAGTTTCACTTACATGTTCTCATGTCTCTTTCTACCATTGATGTGACAGATTTCCTAACCTATCTTCAACATTAACGATTAATGTCTCGATCCGTGGGTCACAGTGACACTTTTTTTGCAATATTCGTTTATTTTGTGCAATAATGCGTGAAATATAATCTTAATTTTATCAATATCAGAGGTAAGGAGGCTAAACTTAACAATTACGGAAAAAATAGATTTCAATGTACAAAAGCGGGGTTAGTTGAGTCACTTGACCCAACTAGTCCCACACCAATGTCGGCTCAAATATAATTTTAAAACAACAAAACTGTCAATCAAATAACAACTTTGACGTTGAAATTATAAGATATGCTAATAATTTGTGATAAAAGAGTATATTTTATTACTTTTAAATGCTTCAATTATTATATAGACCAAAAAGAATACTTACCTAATGACTTTACTTTCACTACACAAAACTAAAAGAATGATTATATATTTCAACTGATGATCGAGCGGAGACTAGCGTACTCAGCGCAGTAATATACATCTTCGTGCTCGTCTGATGCAAGAGTGACATGTTCGTACACGTCACGGTTACCAATATATTTAACATTGTCCAACTTGCCCCTATGCTCATATAGCCCCGCTCTACCCTACTCATCGGCTACATTGTTTGAGTTCGATTTTTTAAAAAAGGAAGCTTTATGTTTAAAAAAAAAGAGAAAATATAAAAATGGATTTTGGTGATTCGTGATAAGAGACTTATTGTAGTGTCTATTATTAATCTTTTAAATTTAAATTAATTAGTAGTTTTTTTAACATGGCCGGAGATACTACCGCTTCTCTTGATATAATTAGTAGACGTTATTTCTCTTACACCCTATATAATATTATGTGAATATATTGAGATACAAACAGATGTTTGATTTGATATCAACTATTATAATTACATACGAAACAAATTTTGGCGGCTTCTGTGAGTTTTGCAGATCCCATGTATGAGATTTAATTACATTGTGTAACAAATGACTAATAGATTTAAACTCCTTGTTTGATGATGAACTCGCGTTGCTAAATTCGATCGATGTACATCAATCCTAATTTCTCGACTATTCAGGAATGATTTTACTCATTTGCAGGCAATGTTGAAAATAAATTGAAAACGGTTAACGTAGCGGATAAAGACAACGAAATTCCGGGCGACGAAATTACCCAGATAACAATGATTGTGTTCAACAGACTTTAACTGTTGCAGAGCGAATCTGTAAGCATGTTTGTTAGTATTGAATGATCTAGATTCTAGAAGAATATACCAACAGCAACGAGTGCTCACGAAATTCGCTCCATAGTTGAGTCTGTTGAACGCGAATAGTGTAACTGCACAGTACCATGCAGATGTGTCCTTATTTGAGGCTCATGTAGCCTGCACACATGAGTGCTGCATATATGCGGGCGATATGAGACTTATGTGAATGCTTCAATTAGGTTTTGTATATATATATTGCTTGCACATGAGTGTTATACGTGTTCGCAATTGGTCACTAATTTTAAATTTGAAGTAAAAAATGTACAATTTAAAATGGCAGATTTAATATGGAGGAGACAATCATTAAGAGTTTAAAAAAATCCGTACAATGAAAATTGATATCTGGTGGTTTTGTAAGTGTCTGGTTACTTCTGTGTAATTTCAATTGTTGAATTGAAAATATTGGATCCAATATGGTGATATAAGTTTCAAAAATTCATCAGCATAGTTGCCATAGTTTATAATTCTATATGATGATTAACTTTAACTTTAATACACTTTAAAACTCTTGCATTAAAAATCTTCAATTCTTAATTTTTGAAACTTATGTCATCATATTGGATCCGCTATTTTTAATTCAACAATTGTAATTATACAATAATAATCAGAAATTTACAAAACAACCAAATATTGATTTTTATGTAAATCGTACGGATTTTTTAGAACTCTTGT